CAGAGGGCAGTGTCACTGGCCCTCATATGTGGGATCCGAACCGGGGCCCTCTGGCATCCCAAGCCAGTTCTTAACCATCACGCCACTCGGCCGGCCCAAAACCTGCCTTTTTAATGCATATCTGAATGGCTGAACCCAACCAAGCAGGTAATGTTACACATTTGAGGAAGTCTATAGACTTGTGGGTGTTAACTTTTGTAAAACCTACTTCAGTTTCATTCTCAAGAGGGTAATGTAGTATTAGGCTTCATTAGGCAATGGGAGATAAACACTAAGGCAACAGAGATCATAACTAGGAAGCAGGTACCACACATGGGGTTGGGAGGAAACATTGACCAGAACTTCAAAGCTTAGAAGAGAGGCCCTGCAGAGCTGGCATTCAGATTTTAGGGGATTGTTGGCCAGGTGGTGCTGCCTGACTAGCACTGGTATTTCTGAGGGGTCCAATGAGGATTGTTCAGGAAGATACAGTGCATACTTTGTTCACTGGTTTGTATCTAGCTCCTACAATACCTGGTATATTACAGGCAATCAAATATTTCCTAAATGAATGTATTCTCCAATTCTTACCTGTCTACTCCAGACCATCCAGAGTAACAGACAGGCAAGTGTTGCGAGCTCTAGTACTTGTGACTTTTCTTCACATCAGACTGGAGAATAAAACATTTAGAGGTGGAGGCAACCTAAAAATGCAGTTGCATTCCAGTTTCCTTGGCTACAGCCGACCCAGGTGTGGGAGAAGCCTGCTAGGGAGGCCTCATTGAGCATCTCCACTGCCTTAGCATGTATATTGACTTTCACTGGTCGATATACATGGAAAATATGTACCCATATTTTAGTACTTTTTATCCATGAAGATTTTGCAAAAGCTTAAATACTGATGCTTTGTTCCAGATCAGTACATTTTAACGTTGTCTTTTAGGGTTCCTCACACTTACCCCGCCTTTCACCTAGTTATAGCCTCCAGTAGGCCCTTTACTTTCCTTATGCCTTGTGATCTTCCTTCTCAGTGATAGCTCAAACCTTTCTTGCCCAGTTCAGTTACTCCTCTCCCCATTTCCTGCCCCTTATTCCTTCTTGGCATGTCCTAGTGCCCTGAAGCAGGTTCTAGCCTTAGATCCTCTTCAGGACCCTGCAGGCTTCTACATGAGTGTTAAGCTTCTGCTTGAGAAAATTACAAAGGCCAAGGAAGTAGAGAGAGAAACACCTTTATTCTCATTAGAAATAGCGATTCTTATAAATTTGTGGAAACAGTTTTCTGTAAGAGACTAGAAACCTGGAACTGGGATGGAGTGATGGTAAGATGAGAAATCTTACAAAGATCAAACTAGATGTTATGCTTCCTCTAAGATTAAGTCTTAAGTCACTTAGATTTAGTATTATCCAGTGATTTAACCTATCCTTTCTTTCCTTTGTTCCCTTTCTGGTGGTGGTTGGTTACAGAATTTTATCTGATTTGGAGGTAACAGTAGGTCCCAGAGTTCAATTATTGGTTTAGAATAGATCCAGGTTGTTAAACTTCTAGATGTGCTCCCCATGAAAGGGGAGAATTTATTCTCTGATGTTGCCCAGAAAGAGTTCTCAGGCCACTAGTCACCTGTTCTCTGTTCAGAACAAGGATACTGTAGTTTCCTGGCAGGACTAATGGTCCTATAGCGTTCTCTCCTTCAAAGCAAGATAGAAAACCGCTGTAGGACTTGAACCATAGGCAGAGATGGAAAGAGGGTTTTTAGGCTGATTTAGAGTATTTTTAGGCTAATTCCTCTTCCTGGATATGGTTCTTGAGATCCAGTTGTCAATAGCTAATCCAGGGATTGGCTAGTATCACTCTCCACAGCAGAAGCTCTAAGAAACACATGTTGAAATTGATATGTTCAGTTTCTGCACACTCAGCACATTTCTTCCTTCCTATGATGTATCTCTTCTATGTGTACCTCCTGATGGCGGATAAGGGCAGAGTTCTTAGTAAAGCTTTTCTCACACTGAGAGCACTTGTAAGGCTTTCCCCCAATGTGGGTTTTCTGGCGGGCACTGAAGTGGGAGCTGTTATTGAAGCTTTTCCCACACTGCGCACACTTGTACGGGCTCTCCCTGGTGTGAACCCTCTGGTGCGAGCTAAACTGGGAACTGTTATTGAATCTCTTCCCAGTGCACTGATAGGGCTTCTCCCTCGTGTGAGCCCTCTGGTGTACAATGAGGCTGGAGCGCTGGTTGAAGCTTTTCCCACATTCCCCACACTGGTAGGGTCTCTCCCCTGTGTGAGTCCTTAGGTGGGTAGTGAGGTTGGAGCGCACACTGAAGCCTTTCCCACATTCACTGCACTTGTGAGGCTTCTCTCCTGTGTGGATTCTCTGATGCCAAACAAGGTAAGAACCTTGGCTAAAGTTTTTCCCACATGCATGACATTTACAAGCCTTTTCTAGTTCGGGGACTGGCTGGTGGTGAGAGCAGTGAGAGCTCTGAGAGCAGTTTCTTCCACACAAGGGATGTGTCCAAGGCTGTTCCTCATTCCGAAGACTCTAGTGACTCATCCTATCCTGGAATTGGATTCTTTCCTCACTCTCCCCTGAAAAATGTCTACGTTGTCGTCTTGACACTAGCTCACCCTCCCAGCCTGTTTTGAGCTTAGAGTGCCAGAAAACTTCTCCACTAGACTTTCTCTGTAAAGGCTTGTTCACTTCTTCTGAATCATCCTATTTTGGATTCTCTTTTTTAATCCCATTCTTGATCTCAAAACCTGAAAGAATAAAATTATATTGGACTGTGGAGAAGGAAAACAATGGAATCAGGAATGACTTACAATTAAACTACCATAAAGAAATTAAACTTCTTCACATGATTCAGTCTTCTAATTAAAAGCCTAAATTTGATTTTCCAATTGTAATCCTTTTCAGCTCCAAATTTGTGATCACAGGTAACTATACCATACATAATCTACTTTTTTTCCTAGTCCGTTTCTTTTTGGATATTTTAACACAATGACAAAATGGAAGCAAAGAGTTAAGCTCTGTGTCAACTGTCAATCTGTCTGTAGGTATAGTCTCAATTTTTGAATGGCCTACTTTCCGGGAGCAGAATCATAAAAGGCCACCCTGAGACTGGGCAGCTCAAACAAGAAGAAAGCAAGTTTCTGAGTATCTGGCAAGTGGCGGCTTTGGTTATGAAAGGATGATCAGTGGCAGAGAGAGAGGAAAGTGGGGAGAGTCTGGGCTGGAGGCCTAACTGGCAATCTAAAGACGCACATTAAGTGGAATTCCATGGGGGAAAAAAATGACATGTATTCTGTGAACGAGTCTGGTAAATGCAAAATTGTGGCTTTAAAGTTCAAGGGAAATAATTCTTAAGCTCCATGAAAACCAAAACTCCTTGGCCTATATAATAAGGTCATTCATTAAGTTGATGACGAGGCCAAGAGCAGACACGGCTCCCTCTTGATTGCTAGACTAAGGCCTGCATGTGGGCTTTCCCATCCTTTGACCATCAGAGCCAAGTCTGTTTGGGAACAGGACGGGCAGGTCAGCTCCTCTAACCTCCTGGCCAGGATACGTGATATCCTTTTCATCTCCAGCTGCACCATCCCCAGTGGCAGCTTCTTCCACCTGTGAGGGGCGCCCTGTTCTGCTGACTCTGCTCTCCAGATCCCATGTCACTTCCCTCTTGGTCAGGAGTAGGATCGATTGTCCCAGGAGGTGAAGAGGAGCTTGAAAGGGCATCCATATCCTCATAAAAGATACAAGGCTCCGGTACTTGGTCTCTCCTGACTTCGCAGTAACCTGACCATGAGCCTTTGAACTTCATGCGACACTGCTCTGGGGTCCGCAGAAAGCCCTGCGGCTGGAGTTGTTCTGTAGATTTGGCTGCTCTGCTGACGGGTCTGGACTTTTTCATGAAATTGAGAATTACTGACAATGACTAGGAGCATCTCGGTCTCCTCATAGCCCCACAGCACACGTGCTGCCAGGGAACAAAGAACACAATGATCGGCTCAGGGAAGACCAGATACTGTAGTGCAGGGTTTTAGCAGCCCAACATGTTACATCCTAGTTTCTCAAACTATGCCACAACTGGCTGCCATCAATCCTGGAAGGTATCTCACTGTGGGCTTTTTTCCTAAAACAGAAACTTTCAGTGTAGTAGCCGTGACATCCTCTTCAGCTGAGGAGTGTAGACTCCTTCCTGACACTGCCATTTGTATTTCTCTATAATTATCCTGAATCCCACGCATTCCCCCTGAGAGATGACTCACGATAAGGGCAGTGCTCACCTGTCTCCATACTGGTGCAAATCCCTGAGGGCATTAGGCCACATAAGAGAAAGTGGTGAACAGGGGAGATGTGCAGGGAAGCGAAGACTGAGAGGCGAGAAAAGCTGGTTATAGGAGACTTCTGCCTACTCCCACCTCTGATGCCTGGGTACCTCTGGTCTACTCATCTCCATCTGTTACATCCTGTCATCTTTGTAGAAGCAAGAAACTACATTACTGCAGTTACTATCCCGAAATCAGAACAAGCAGTAAAAGACTGAGTAGAGCAGTTCAGGCTGGCTGGTGACTCGAGAACCCTCAGCCCACCCATCTACACTCAGCTAGGGCTCAAGGTGTACCCATCTGGGCCGGTTGGTAAGGACTCGTTTGTCCAGAGCTGTCCTAGCAAATGCATCCTGATTATATCTAGTTGCAATGTTCTGAAAAGCACCCGGCCTCCTCTCATCAGCCCCTGTACTCCAATCTGCTCTGAGCCACCATCATCTCATGCCTGGGCCATGCCGTACCTGCCTCCTTGGTCTTCTTGATTCCACTCTTTGCCTCCTACAGTCTGTTCTCAACCCAGTCAAAATTGTCCTTGTCCTTGTTCATTCAATTCAACTAACATATATCGAATGCCTACTGTGCTCTTTTGTGGGAAATGCAAACACCAGTAATGACACGGATCCTGCCTCCAAGGAGGCCAGTCCTATACAAGTCTCTGTAGCAAACAGGAGACAAACAAATGTTTAAGTAGAGTTCAGTGCCAAGGTAATGGAAATAGTCAAACCGATCATTTTGAAACCGTTCCTCTGCTCAGAACTCTGTGAGGTTACTCCTTATAACTCAGAAAGTCAAACTTCTTATAGAGTCCTTCATGTAGGGCCTCAAGGCCCTATCTTAGTGATTCTCGAATTATCTCTGAAAAACCAGGTTTTTGTGTTTTTAAAAATACAGTAAAAATGCAGTTGGATCGTGCAGCAATGTTAAAGTGCTATAAACATTTTTAAATGCTTACTCTCCATTTCAGTTGACGTCACTTCCAATACTATTGCCCTATATGATCTGGCTCATGAATCTCGTTTATTACTCTCATCCTTGCAATCTGCAAATCACACTGGCCTTCTTGCCCAGCCTCACCCTGGCCTCAGAGCCTCTGCACTGGCTATTCCCTTTGTTAACACTCTTCCCCCAGAGGCTCCTTCCTTCTCCTTCAAGTCTTTGTTCAAATGTCATTTTCTCTTTTTTTTTAGATTCTTTTTTTTAATTGGGGAATTGGGGGATGAGAACAGCGCTGGGAAATTGGGGGAAGGGGAACAGACAAGTTGCTGTCCTTTTGTTCTTCAGTCTAGTTGTGGAGGACATTGCTTCACTGGCCCAAGTTGGCACCATCATTGCGCTCTTCCCGGGCGAGGCAGATCAGTCACCGGCTTCTGGACGGCCGTTCACTGCGGCTGCTGGCCGCTCATGCTGGCTGCTGGCTACACACGGTAGCCCATGGCAACCCACTGCAGCAGGGGCTGCAGCCTATGCCATCGCCGGCGACTCACAGCAGCCCAGCTCCAGGTTGAGCTGTTGTTCAGCATCTTAGCTGTGGAGGGCAGTGTCACTGGCCCTCATATGTGGGATCTGAACCGGGGCCCTCTGGCGTCCCAAGCCAGTTCTTAACCATCGCGCCACTCGGCCGGCCCTCAAATGTCATTTTCTCAGTGAACACTACTCTGACAACCCAAACGAAAATGGCACCCCACCCTCTGCCCCCGCACTGATCACTCTTATTCTGCCCCATTACCCTGCAGCTCTAAGGGAACCTGATTCCTGGACTAATGACAACCTTTTGAATTCACACAGCGGCACCTGCTAGGACATCACCCACCTTGCAGAGAATACAGTACTCATTCCCCAGGGCAGCATCGCCTTCATTCTTTTATGTTCCATTGACCAATCGAGATCTAACATCTACTCCCACAATTCACTACTTTGGTCACAGAACATACCTGGCTTTGGCTTTCCAATTTCACAACTCACAACAAAATCCCCTGGGTTACCAGACAACATAAGTGTTCAGGTGCAACTTTTCTCTATATGTAAACTGCATGTTCCAAATGAATGGCTTTATGTTGGGTATCCACCCCAGCTTTTATCCCAACGTGCCCTCAAAAGTGAGGGAGCAGGAACCATCCTCAATTTATAGCTGGAAGGCAAGGCCCATTGTTGGGGGGGGGGGTTGTTGATAGGTAACCAGCACCAGGACACATGTGCAGAGAGGTCCTTGGCCACGGGGCTCTGGAGCAGGCTGTAGGTGCCGGGGCTTCCGTTTTCCTGGACTCACTGCTTGCTGTCAGATTCATGGCTGTCTGAGTCCTCCACTGTTTCCTCTCATATCACCTCTTTCCGCTTCCATGAGCCTTGGCTTGGCCCTTTGGCCTTTACAGTCCTGTCTGCTGAGCTCCTAGGAGAAGTAGAGGAGCCCTGTGAGGCCAGCAGAGCTTCCGTCTCCTCCTGAGAGGCAGAGGGCTCTGGGCTGCAGCCTCGTCTCTCTCGACAGCAACTGGCCTGGAAGCTTCTGAACTTGGTTTGACTCTGCTTCAGAGTCCGATGGAAATGTTCGTACAAGAGCTCAGCGACTTCCCTGTACAGCTGACTGCTCTGCTTGTGCACCTGGAGTTTCTCATAAAACCGAGGCTCGCTGAGAACAGACAGGGAAGTCCTGGTTTCATCAGCAGCCAAGGGTGTGCCTGCCCCTTGCCTATCCCCCAAGTCTCGCTGTTTTGCGTCACCCTTGATTTTTTCTTCCCCCATTTCTGGCGTTTCATGGGCTTCCACTCCAGTCTCACTTGTGGAACTCTTAGAACTTTTTTCGCTCTGCAGCGGTGAATATCTGGGGTCCCTGTGTGTTTTCTCTGTTCCAGCCCAGAGATGACGTTTGGACCATGAATGGGAAACCCTGCATGTGAAGAAGTAGGGAGGAGACATCCAGGCCCCTGCGAGCTGCAGAGCATCTGTCTCTGAATCTGATGGTCAGAAGGAGGCTCCCCTAAGGAGGACCAGCCCAGGTGGGGCAGAACTGAATTGAGAAAGGCTGAGCTCAGTCCTGAGATTGAAAAAGGGCACTTGGTGCCTCTGAGGGGCCTGGGCATGGACGTGCACTATCACAGTTGGGTTGCTTTGTTTTTTTAATCCTGCCTCTCAGGACATCACAGCTGTGTGTGAGCCGTGTTCATTCATCTCTCACCTGTTCATTGCACAGTCTGTACTTCACTGGCTGCTGTCTGTCTCCTGCTGTGTTTCCTTGCTGTCTCTGTTTTCCCTCCCCTTCTTGCTCCTGACCTCCCCACACCCTCTGTCCCCACTGCTGTCAGTCTCACGCCCCCTCCCTTATTCTTGCTCACTCTCACACATGCATGCTATCCATACTTGTCATAAGCCCTCTGATTCCCTTGCTTTCCTTTTCTTTCAGTCTGTTCCCTTCTCTCTGACTTCCTTCCTGTGTCTCTCTCTCTGGGGCTTTCTTTCTCTGTGTCTTCTTTTCTCTGTGTCTCTTATCTACTCTCAGTATTTTCCTGTTTATTTCCTTCTTTCCCTGTACTTAACTGGGTCCCCACTACCTCTGTCTGTCTCCTTCCTTCTTGGATTCTTTCACACACACTCTCTCTCTCTGAACAGCTGAACATATCTGCTCTGGACCTAGAGGGGAATGCAGATGTTTACCTAGTGAGACATTTCTGTCATCCTTCTGTAAAACACCCCTGTATAGGGCCCTCTGTGCAGGCCCAAGGTGAGTCCGTCCTTCTTGATAGAGGGATACAGCTGTCTTCAGACGTGACCGGCCCCTGTAACAACATCGGGTCTGATGCTACCGATAAAATAGCACCACTCCAGCCTGGGGTGGGGCAAAGACAGGACCACAGTCATCAGGTCAGGGGCAAAGAAAGGCAAGGGAGGTCAGGCCTCTGAGGGAAGGGTTGGGTTGGGAGGCAGCCATGTGATGACGTCAGTGTGGACAGAATAAGCAGTTAACCCAAGACAAGCTCACTGGACCACCTAAAAGTCTTTCTCACCTCTCTGGGAAAGGTTGAGTTTCAGAGTGAGAGTGAGTGTGAGGTGAAATGGGAATTTCAAGAGACAAAACATGTCAACTACAGCTTATCTGGGTTCTCAGCGGCCCAGAGCACAGAACCCAGTGGATAGTGTTGCAATTTGAATCCGCTAAGATACGATATGTTTTCATTCCCTCAGCCAAGAAATGGCACTGCCCTTTGAGAAGCACTACTTGGGTGTATGATAAACTACAAGACCAGGAGCCATGTGCTTTCCACCTCAGCACCCTCCAGCCTGGTCACGACACTGTCCTGTCTGGACTGACTGCTGTCATCGCCTCTGAACTGGCTGCCCTGCATCCTCTCTGTTGCTGGACCCTCTAATTCATTTTCTCTTTACATAGAATCCAGTAGATCTTTTAAAAATGTAAGACCACATCCATCTCTCTTAATACTCTTCAGTGGCTTCCTACTGCATGTAGAATAAAATCCAAACTCCTTCACAGCCTGAAAGGCCCAGCACAACGTGCTCCTGTCTTCCTCTCTCACCACCTCTCATACCACTCTTCTTGATTCTGAAGCTCTAGCCACAAACCCTCCCTCGTTTGCCAAACACGTTAAGTCCTCAGCCAGCTGCAGCTCAAGTGTGCTGTGCCCTCTGCCTGGACTGCTGTCCTCTCAGCTCTTGACACAAGCTCCTTCTCCTCCCTCACACCTCAGCTCAAATGTCCCCTCAGAGGGGCCTTGCCCCACTCCCTATCTCCCCCCACAGTCATGTCTATTAGGTCACCTTGCTCATTCCTTCAGAGCACGTATCTGAAAGTATCTTTATTCATTTGCTTATTATGTTTCCTCCATGGAATGCACGATAAAGATAGGTAGTACTTTCTGGTGGGTGGCAGCGGGCTAGTGTGCATTTCTCAACTAAGCGCCTCTCTGTTAACTGGTTTGCTGTGCTCCTCACCCCAACCTCCTTATTTTTATTTTTCATTTTATTTTTAAGATTTTATTGGGGAATTGGGGAAGGGGAATAGCTTTGGGGAATTGGGGAAAAGGAATAGACAAGTTGCTGTTCTTTTGTTCTTCAGTCTAGTTGTGGAGGACATTGCTTCACTGGCCCATGTTGGTATTGTGATCATTGTGCTCCTCCCGGCTGAGGCAGTTGGTTGCCAGCCATTGGACAGCCGCTCACAGCAGCTTATGGCGGCTCATGGCAGCTCACAGCAGCTCTTGCTGGCTGCCGGCCACTCACACTAGCCCCGACCACTCAAGGTAGCTCACAGCAGCCCACTGCAGCAGGGGCTGCAGCCATCGCCGTCGCCAGCCACTCACAGCAGCCCAGCTCCAGGTCCAGCTGTTGTTCACCATCTTAGCTGTAGAGGGCGCGGCATCACTGGCCCATGTGGGAACCGAACCAGCGGCACCGCTGCTCAGAGCTTGCACTCCCAAGCCAACTCTTAACCAACTGAGCCACTCGGCTGGCCCCTATCTTTATTTTTATTGTTTTGTTTTTTTCTTTTTTGTCCACCCCAACTTCTTGATAACCAGAACCACAGGTTCTTATTTTCTTTTCTCACCTGTTGCCCAGGTACTCTCTGTACATTCTCAACCAGGGCCACAGCTGCTTCACCATTTTCTGGATGCTGCTTCCTCACCCAGGTCTGGATCTCCTCTGGCAAGATGGTGAGGAACTGCTCCAAAAGCAGCAGCTCCAGGATTTGCTCTTTTGAGTGTGTCTTAGGCCTCAGCCACTGACAACAGAGTTCCCAGAGTGTGCTAAAAGCTTCATGGGGGCCAGCTACCTCCTGGCAGCAGAACTGCCAGAAGCGCTGGCAGGAAGCTTCATAGTCAGGGCTGATGCAACGAAGGGCTGATTTCTGTCCTTGTGTTGAGTTCTTGCTTGAGGATGGCTGTCCCTGGGGACCCCTTGTTGCAGCCATCATTCGCTTCACGAACTGGCTTACTGGTTGCCACTTCCACCCTCAGGATCAGATTCCATCTCTTTTCCTATCACTAGGAAGCGGTTCTCCCGGATACCAGTGAAAGCAATGTCTTTCTGGAATCAGAGACATAAAAGTACATAGATGTACAGACTCATGGTTGAAAAGGGAGAATGGAAAGACAGCATAAAACTGTCCCATATTCATTCCCTCTGCTTCTTGTGATTTATGTCTATCATTTTCCTTTACTCCCTCTGCAATCCAAGGACCCAAAGCACTAGAAATATCAAAAAATATAGTTTTCTCCCCAGCCAGATTTGTCTGTTAATGAATTCCCCAAACTACTCCTCACAGTGTAGTCCAGCTATTCCTTCTCGTGTTCCCACATGCCTGTGTCTTGTTCCTGTTCTCCCCTACCCTCAAGAAGCCTGGCCCCATCTTCCCAGTTGCCACCTTCTCTTAAGGAGATAATAGTGTGAGTGCCTCTGAGTAACCTCTTCATCACTATGACACCCTCTTCCCTACCACCACCACCATACACACAATATGGATGCCAAATGATTATTCTGGTTTGCTGTATCCTTTCCCCCCAACATTCCTTCCCCACTTCTGATAGCAACATCTTCCTTTTTGAAAGAGCCCCTCTCTATTCCATTGGCTCTGGTGGGGCTATTCATTACAGTACCCTTCTCCCTACCCCAGGAATGGGCATCAGAGAAAGGCTGGGCCTGTCAAAATCCTCTGATTTTACATACAGGTGGGATGGGAGAAGTTCCAAATTTTCTGGGAATTGTTATATTGGGAGGGTGCAAGACTGGAGCTATTTGCAACTACCCCACTCACCAAAGGGATAAGCCTGTTTATGGGAGTGAAAGATTAGTTTTTTAAAAAAATGGATTCAGGTTGCCTTTCTTCCAAAGAACTTGAACTGCCTTTATTTATATTCTTTTTATATTTCAGTATGGCAGGAGGGCCTAGAGATAGAGGAATCAAAGGTATTGTTGTTAGCAGTCCTTTTTAAACAAAAACTGGAGCATCTACATAACATAGCTTCTCAGTAGCAAGGCCAGGTCTAGAAACTTTACCCCTTGCCTTGCACATGTGGACGGAAAAGGGGCCACAGGCTAAACCTGACTGACAAGCTCAGGAGACTGAAAATAACCACATAAGATGGTGTGAGCATAAAAAAAATTTTCATAACATCTTTAGCTTCCTTCATAAAGTTGGTCTGTGCCTTTTCAGTGAGTCTCTGTTTTTCTGCACCTAAGATAACATTTTAGGAATGTCAATAATCCTTTTCCTGGACCACAGCTGGAAACTGCTAAATTCCTTGTTATCTCCTGATTACCATCCCTCTGTGCTGTAAAAAGCTAACTGTTAGCTATCTTGTACCCAGCTATGTAAAAGAAGTACCTGCCTCTCCAAATTACTTTTATCCAATCCCAGAGCTTTCCCTGCTTTGCTCTCTCCCACCCCCTTAATCTGTCACCAGTGGATTTCATGTATCCTTCCTCCTTTAATTTTTTTTTTTTTACTATTAAGCTGAGCCATCCTGCCACCTGTTGGCAGCTCAGCGGCTGCTCAGCTCGGGCCGGGACTCGAACCACTGTTGCTCAGAGCTCAAACTCTTGAGCGAGATCTTAACCAACTGAGTCACTCACCCGGCCCCTTCCTCCTTTAATTTTATGTATAAAATAAGCTGCAAACCGCCACTTTGCAGAGCATTTTCTCAATCCGTTGAGATTTTGCTTCCCGGCAATTGTCGACAGTTTGGCTCAAATAAACTCTTATAAATTTTCTCTTAGGCTGGATATTTTTCGTCAACACACCTTATCTGGATGAAGAATTTAATAAATGCTATACAAGTTTCACGCAGAAGGCGGAGCCGGCAGTCCTCTGGATCCCTGACATCCCATTCATACTTAATTTTAAAATTCTGGTCTCTCAAAAACGTGTTTCCCTCTGACGATGATCCACTCAGGGAGAGCAGGATGAGAATTGGGATTAGGACTGATTCACTTTCACTCCGCAAAGATGCACTGAGTACTCCTAGTGGCTACTCGGTGCTAAAGTTTAGATAGATATTGTGGCTGAAGTGTGATGTAGGAAAACATCCGCAAGCTTCGGCTTCAGCGAGACAGAGATGACAGGAGCAGAGTCACAGGCCAGAGGCAGTCTGGGCTCCGGCACAGAGATTGGAACCCGGCCTGGCCGGCTCGTGTACGTCAAGGGCACCAGCGCGCAGGAAAGTGACCGCGAAACATACAAGGGGCGTCCGGGCGTGGCCCAACCGCCAGACAAGACTCTCGGCGGCAAGACGCCCCCAGGCCGGTGTGGTACCCAGACGCGAACTCCCTAACAGGAGCAAACAAAGCACTCACTAGACACTAGCAACTCCCCAAACTCACTCGGCAGCCTGGCCGGAAGACAGCATCATGAGCCTTGGCCCTAGTCCGCCCACTGCGCATGCTCGCAAGCCGTGCCACCGGACTACTATTCCCAGGATGCACTACGACAGCAGGGCGGGTTCCTTGCCAATATTGACAGGTCCCACAGTCAATATATGAGAGAGAATGAACTCGAGGAGCCAATCGCTTTGGGGAGGAGGCGGGCTCTTCCGTGGCGTAGCTCCTCGGCAGCCAGTGGGAGTGTCCGCGACAAGAAGGCTTCTGCTCCGCCTCCGGCCCTGGGTCCTGGGTTCCGGTTCCATGGTCCCTAGAGAGGTGAGTCCGCTGCAGGTGGGAGCTGGGTGACGGGTTGTTGGCGTCGTTGCATTCCAGGCGCCAGCTGGGGCTCGTACCCGGCAACGAAGCTGAGCTGCGCGCCGGAGTGCCGGAGCTTCGACAAGTCCCAGGCCAGCTGAGGCGCAGGGCCCGAACCGGGCGCCCTCGGAGGCCGGAGCGGCTGGGCCTGCGGATCCTCGGGAGCGAGATGACTCGGTGCCGTGGTCTACCTCTCTCGTGAGCAGGAGGCTTCCGCTAACTTCCAACCCTCGGCGTGCCCCGCGACCTGCCTGGACTCGCCCTGTGGCCCCCCGGCAAGATGCTGGAGGTCGGCCCTACCAGGATGCGGGAGAGTTGGTGCAGGCGACCTGTCTGACAACTTGAACTTTTCCTAGGGATTCATGTCAGCCTCTTAGGTCATATTGAGCATTTCTTCTGAGACCCCGTGTGCTTATTACTGAAAGAAAAGCAGTATTCTCCCCAGTTGCCTTTTAGGACGTTATGACATTTCTCCTTCGCAAGACAGTTCTAGACACTGGCGGAAAGACAGACTCTTCCCACTCCCAGCGATTGTGTTGTCTTCAGGAGTTTGGGGTCACGGCTAGTGAAGGAGAAGGCCCTGACTGCATCCTGTCCTCTTCAACATCCTAGAGGAGCTTCGTTTCTAGCATCTTTCTGGCATTCAGAAAGACTCCAGGACCATGATCCCTCAGGCTTGAGCTGTTTACAAGGAGAGAGGAGCTGTCTCCTGAGCCCCAAAATGGCGGCTAAGATGGAGATAACATTGAGCTCGCAGTCCCACATTCAGGCTTCCTCCAAGCAAGAGAGACACATCATAACAAAGCTAGAAGAGAAACGGGGGCCGGCTTTGCCAAAAGACTGGCCGGATCCTGAGCTCTCCCGCCAGAGCTTTAGACGGTTTTGTTATCAAGAGGTGTCTGGACCCCAAGAGGCACTCTCCCGGCTCCGACAGCTCTGCCAGCAGTGGCTGCAGCCTGAGGTCCACACTAAGGAGCAGATTTTGGAGCTGCTGGTGCTGGAGCAGTTTCTGAACATCCTGCCACCAGAAATCCAGTGTCGGGTCAGGCATCGATGTCCAATGAGCAGCAAGGAGATGGTGACCCTGGTGGAAGATTTTCACAGAGCAGCCAAGAGACCAAAGCAATGGGTAAGGAGGGTCTTCTCTCGTGGTCCTCAGGATTTCTTTTTCACTTGGATAGTGTTTGGTCTCTGGATCCCTCCCTAGTTAGACAGAGTTCAGAAATGGACCAGATAGCTTCAAACATGTCTTCTGGCCTCTATTTGGGAATACTCCTCACCCAACCACCCCCCACCCCCAAGATGTCCCAAGTTTTTAGAAAACGCAGCCACTGGCTCTCCAGTGAGGAAGTAGAGGATCAAGTAAGGTTCTTGAATCTTTGCTGACAGATCTCCCCCTCATTCGTTTTAAAGTTTTCCTACAATTGGGATTCTTAGCAGACAGTGTCATCCTTTGGGGTAGAAATTTGATTTGTGAAGAACTTCATTGGACCTGTTCCAGTGAAGTGCCTTGCATATTGTCTTTGGATCAAGATGTCACAGCTCAATTGGCTAGTACTCCTTCCCACCCCTCCCCCCCCCTCGGACCCTAGTCTTGGCCTAGGCAGGAGGCAAACATCCATGTGCTTTGGGGAATGGAAGCAGGAAACAGGGTTGGGGCAGTTCTCTTAGAGCCCTACAACTACTGAGATCTCCTTACCAGGAGAGCCTTAGACAGAACAATTTATTAGATAAAGGTGTTTTTTAATGGTCCCCACCATACTGCTTCCCAGTCCTATAGAGAAGTTTGCAGCAGAAGTATGTAGGCAGGTGGGTATAGAGTGGGAATCTGCTGAGCCAGTGTCATGATTGACCCTGATGTTTGTGCCAGTTCTCTAATTACTTTGACTCCAGGCCTGAGAAAGGCCCAAGCTTTAGGGGCATCCACTCAAGATGTATTGGCTGATTTGAAGCAGCCTTGTTCTGGTCAGTCTGCATATTCTTTCCTGTGCTTCCTTTGAGAATTTCAGTGGTCTCTGGCAAAGTTGACCTCCAGGTCATTATCAGCAATTCCCAGGGTAAACAGGTCATTATGGAGCTCAAGAGGTCAAGCTGCCCTCAGTCAGCCCTCAAATTGCACTCTAATGCATGGGGCTTATTCCTAGGTGGCCGTTTGTATGCAGGGGCAGAAGGTGCTCTTGGAAAAAACTGGATCTCAGCTTGGAGAACAGGAATTGCCAGACTTTCAACTGCAAACTTCTAGGCGATATCCCAGGGAGAGCTGTCTGGAGGAGCCTTCCCAGGCAGGACCTCAGGACCAGCTGTGCCCCCATCATTGGCAAAAGTCTCCACTCCTCCTGGAACCAGCCCCGAAGTTGGCTGGGACAGGTAAACACTCTGTGCCTCCTCTCTCCCTCTTATCAGTCCTTTGTCTCCATCAGGCATTCATGGTTCTGAAAAGCCATAGACAGGTGTTGGGTTTTTTTTTTAATGTTGTGTGTAATAGTAGATCTTTATTCCCTACCAAATTTCACTAATTAGAGTGGCAGTGACACTATACATAAGAAGTATGTTTTTATTTTCTGTTATGACTATTTGACAATCCAGTGCATACTAGGATTATTCTACTGCCTACTTTTGTATCCCTTTCAGAGCTCCCTGTAGTGAAGACAGATCCAAATATAACCGCTGATGAACTTCCATGCAAGCAGTAGCTGTGTTTTGTTTAAAATGGTCCCATGTTTAGAAGGGGCTAAAGAATGTTCTGCTTATTAGAGAAAAAGCCCCACTCCATATTATTTTCTGCCTCTTTTTCTTCCTGTGACATTATCTGTGCTTTAAACTTTTGTGTCTACTTCCTTGTCTGTCTCTGGTACAATTCTAGTGTAATTGCTGGCCCTGCTCCACACAGTACTTTGATCGCTAAGACTGAATGACAGTGACACTTTAGCCAGTCTTGATGCTATGAATACAGGATACAGTCAAGTTAGAGAGGAGAGTTGTAGGAAGACTGGAGCCTTGGTTCCTTAAGATTTGCTACCTTCAATGAAATACTTTGGTTTGATCACTCTCAGAACTCAGGAATGGAGAAGAACTGCACATCTAGTAGAAAAGCATTGTGACTCTGGCTGAGGTCCTGCGGGTAACCTATGGCCTTCATGGTCCTGAAGAAAGTAGACCACACACACTCCCTTCTCCTGCCTTAGGAGACGCGCAGCTGGGTTTGTGTGCAGTCTCCCCCTCCTTTATTTTGATCCCCGAGAGGATAGAGTCTCATGCTTTTCATCCCTAAGATCCAACAGTGCCTTTTTTCAGAGCTGCACTGTCTAATACAGTTGCCATTAGACACATGCGGCTATTTAAGTTTTATTTTTTGAGATATAATTCACATACTATAAAATCCACCCTTTAAAAGTGTAGATACAATTCAGTGGTGTTTACTATATTTACACACTTGGGTAACCATCACGACTATCTAATTTCTGAATATTTTCATGAGCTCAAAAAGAAACCCATACCCATTAGCAGTTACCCTCCAACCCCCCACTTCAGTTCCTGACAACCATTGTTTACTTTTTGCCTCTGGATTTGCCTATTCTGGACATTTCATTGTCCAGAATCATACAATATGTGCTCTTTTGCAACTGGCTTCTTTCACTAAACATAATGTTTTCAAGGTTCATCCATATTGTAGCATGTGTCAATACTTCATTTAGCCTTTTCATGGCTAAATGATATTCTGTTAATGGACATTTTGTTTATTATCAGTCGGTGGAAATTTGGGTTGTTTTCCACTTTTGGCTATTATGAATCATAGTGCTATGAATATTTATGTACAGATTTTTCTGTGAGTTTATGTTTTCATTTCTCTTGGGTATGGAGTGGAATTGCTGGGTTATATGGTAACTCTATGTTTAACCTTTTGAGGAAATGCCAGACTGTTTTCCAAAATGTCTGCTCCATTTTACATTCCCATCAAGAGCCTATGAGGAGTCCAACTTCTTTACATCCTTGCTAACACTTACTATTGTCAGTCTTTTTTATTACAGCCATCCTATTAGGCTTGAAGTATCTCATGGAGATTTTCAGTTATTTCCCTAGTGACTAATGATGTTGAGCATCTTTTCATGTGCTTATTGGACAATTGTATATGTTTGTTGGAGAAATGTCTATTCAGATCCTTTGCTCATTTTTAAATTGGGTTATTCTTTTTGTTGTAATAGTTCTTTACATATTCTGAATCCTAGACCCTTATATATAATGTGCAAGTATTTTCTCCTATTCTGTGGGTTGTCTTTTTACTTTCTTGATAGTATTCTTTGAAGCACAAATGTTTTTAATTTTGATGAACTTCAATTTATCTATTTTTTCTTGGTTTCCTTGTGTTTTTGGTGACATATCTAAAATACCATTGCTTAATTCAAAGTCACAAAGATTTGCACCTATTTTTTATTTAAAGAGAGATTGGTTTAGCTCTTACATTTAGGTCTTTCATCCATTTTGAATTAATTTTTATATATGTTTTGAGGTAGGGATCCAACTTCATTTTTTTTGCATGTGAGAATCCAGTTGTCCCAGCACCATTTATTGAAAAGACTTTTCTTTCTCCATTGAATTGTTTTGACAACCTTGTTGAAAAGCAGTTGACTACTTATTTAAATCTGAATTTAAATTAATTACAAGTAAGTAAAATTTAAAATTCAGTTTCTCAGTCACACTAGCCACATTTCAAGTACTCAATAGCCACATGTGGCTAGTGGCTGCCATATTGAAAAGTGCACGCACACACACACACATACACACACACACACTGCCTGAATGGCAGGAATTCTATAGGCTAGCACAACTCTACATCCTCCAACTTGCCCACAGGCCATCCAGCTCATTTCCATCCTGATCCTCAGTCCTGGTGGTCAGAAGTTGGAGAGTTTGTGTAATTAGAATACATGGCTAGCCCATATTCCAGTTTCCAAACACAAATGCTGTCAACTTTGTAAGGAAAGAAAATGCCACATTCACTAGATTTATCATTATTTGAAGAAATAATGGTGGTCATTCAGTGTCCAAGTGAGAGCATGCAGATTTGCAGTGTTGAAATTCCAGCTCTCTTCCTTCATTTTGTTCCTTAGTTGATACTCAGGCCTGATTGGTTTGCTTTTCCCTATTTCTCCTTTCCTACACTTTTCCCTAAAGGTAGGAAGGAGGGAGCGGGTTGGAGAACTTGGTTCCTAACTTACATATAAATCAGAATCACGCTAGGAGCCTTCTAACTGTACAGATTTCCAGGTCCTAACCCCCAGAGATTCTCATCAGCGGCCATGGGGATGCAAGGGCAGCCTGCTGATTTGGCAAGTGCCCCAGATGAGTCTAGTGCAAGTTACCAGTGGAAGACCACACTTTGAAAAACCTTACAGTATATTTCATAACGTTTGCTGAGATTCTTTCCTCAAAGCTCAGAAAATGAAACATATTCTTTCTAATTATAGAGGCCCCCAGAATGAAAAGTGAGAACAAGGAAAATCCACAACAGGAAGGGGCTAAAGGAGCAAAGCCATGTGCAGTGTCATCTGGCAGATCCAAAGGGAATGGTCTGCAGAGTCCTGAACCGAGAGGGGCAAATATGAGTGAACCCCCCCGGTTGTCACGGAGGCAGGTCAGCCCCCCAAATGCTCAAAAGCCATTTGCTCACTACCAGAGACATTGCAGGGAATTGGAATACATCAGCAGCCCCCTAAAAAGTCACCCACTGAGAGAGCTGAAGAAAAGCAAAGGAAGTAAAAGAAGCCTAAGCAATCGTTTGCAACGTCTTGGTCACCAGCCCAACCGCTCAGCAAAGAAACCTTACAAATGCGATGACTGTGGGAAAAGCTTCACATGGAATTCAGAGCTGAAGAGACACAAGCGAGTCCACACAGGGGAGAGGCCCTACACGTGTGGAGAGTGTGGAAACTGCTTTGGGCGGCAGTCAACCCTGAAACTGCATCAGCGGATCCACACAGGAGAGAAGCCGTACCAGTGCGGCCAGTGTGGGAAAAGCTTTCGCCAGAGCTCAAACCTTCACCAGCATCACAGGCTCCACCATGGGGACTGAAAGCAGGGCTTCGTTCTTTCTGTTCAGAAGGAAGGTGTTTGCCTTTCTTCTTCTCCTTGCATGTAAATCACAAAGACTGTCTGCGTGACTTACAAGGAAAGCAAGAGGTCCCTGAGGAATGATGGTGCATATTTCACTGGTGAAGAGTCCCAGATGAAGTTGCACGGTGACAGGGTGAAGAAATGGCAGGTCTGGGCACTGGGTGAAAGAGAACTAGGGTCTCTGCTATACAGTGGGGTGTAACCAATGAGGGAGAATCAGGATGACCCTGCAGGTGCCCCCGCCTTGTGTTAAATCTTCCCCGAGCTGCTGTATTTACCTTGAGGGTAAATTTACCTTAAGGGTAAAGTCTACATACAGTTATACATTGCTGTTACACCAGACAATCTTTATCATGCACACATTTCCTTAATCAAGATGGGTGAGCCACAAGAATTTCAAGGCAAAAGTTCATTGGAATATAAATCCTCTAATATTCTTCCTATAATTCCTGGCTGTTCATAACAAAGGATGCAAGAAGGGAGAGTATGAGCATGTTTGTGTGAGGAGAGGGTTTCCAGGTAATTAATGCTTTTACCAAAATAGACACACACACACACAACACACTGAGGTATCTTTTTATTTATTTTTATTTTTTTTAGCTGAGCCATCCTGCCACCTGTTGGCAGCTCAGTGGCTGCTCAGCTCGGGCCGGGACTCAAACCACTGTTGCTCAAAACTCGCACTCTTGAGCAAGCTCTTAACCAACTGAGCCACTCGGCCAGCCCTTGCGGTATCTTTTTATATCAAAGCACTTATGTTTTAGGAAAAGAAAATCTACACAGCTGCTGCAACCACCCAAGCAATAGGGAAAAGCGACAACAAGAAGCGAGTAGTGTATGTAGACTGTTAAGGAGATGTCAAAGGGAATCCTTACTACTCTCTCACTTAGGCTAGTAGCTTAAAGAATAACAAAATGGCACAATGAAAATGTTGTAAAACTGGATTATTTCAGTACATTTACTAAAAATCATTGAAATGAGTTAATTGTGTGATATGTACTTTAAACCTCAATGAAGTTTCTAAAAATGACAAAATATATAAAATGTTAAAGTCCTCGAACTAAGCCTGAGAGGTCATCTATTCCCATCCCTTCATTGTCTCAAAAACCCAACCAGTATACAATTTTTAGTCACCCTGGGCAAGCCAGCTGATCTCCATTGGTAGATGGGTGCACTACCTCAAGCAGAAAACGGGTAGGTAGCATTCTTTCTAAAGCATCAATATCCTCAAGTCACTGCTAGTTGTTTTAGGACTATGGCCTGTGCTGTCACCTCCCCTCTCTTACCTACCCCCCACCCCCACCCAAGAACATCATGTTCCTCCTTACAGCAGAAGGACAAGTGCACACACATGTGTCCCTACCCTCTGGGTCTTTGCACACACTGTTCCTTTTGCCCTTAGGACCTGCCACCTCTCACTCCCTCCTCCCTTTCTCATCTCCCAAGAGTTGTCTGCTTTGCAAAGTCTTCTCTGACAAGTTCTAGGCAGACTTAGACTTAAGGGTGTGTCACTCTTGGCTCCACTCTGCTCACCAGTGGTGCTCAAACTGGGAGCAGATTTGCCCCCCAGAGGACATTTAGCAATGTCTGGATATTGTTGGTTGTTATGACTTGGGGGAAGGGAGGATAGCTCCTGGCCTCTAGTGGGTAGAGACCAGGGGTGCCGCTAAATGTCCTACAGTGCACAGCATGGACCCCACAACAGTGTCATCTGGTCCAAAATGTCAGTAGTGCCAGGGTTGGGGAACTGTACCATACACTATAAAATACCTTTAAGGACAAGAATCTTGTTTTTTCATCATTTTAGCTTTTGAGCTTAGCCCACACCCAGCCAAGAGAAATAGGTGTCGGTAATTGAAGAGCCGAGGACCCCTGCTTTACCCTCAGGGCCCATTTCTGCCTGAATCTAAGATCCTGGTGACAGCCTGTTGAGTGCAATGGATAGCCTCTTTGGAGCAGAGATGGATTTAATGGAAGTCCAGTGGCTTTCCTCATAGTTTTTGGTGGCCCTTTAGACTCTAATCCACGGTCCCTTTCCCAACAATGCTGGACATTAGAAGAGTTTTTCTTCATTAGGCCTGCACCTTACCTCATTCCTGTCCGCTGCCTCTCACTGGTCAGGGCCTCTTGATTTCTCATTTCAGTTCCCATCTTGCCCCACTTCCTTTTTCCATACCAGTTTCACTGTTGTTTCTTAATAACTTCCCTAATCTTATTTATGTCTGTATTAATTTCCTATCGATGACCACAAACTTAGTGGCTTAAAATAACACAAACATCCAGGAGGACAGAAGTTTGAAATCAGTTTCCCTGAGCTGAAATCAAAGTGTAAGCAGGGGCTAGTTCCTTCTGACATTTCTTGGATGAATCTGTTTCCTTGCCTTTTTTAGCATCCAGTGGCTGCTTGTATTCCTTGACTTGTGGCCCCATCTTCCATGTTCAAATTGCATCCCTCCAGTCTCCTTCTCCTTTGACTCTGACCTGCTGGCCTCCCTCTTATAAGGACCGTTATGATTATATTGGGTCCACTTAGATAATCCAAGATAATCTCCACACCTCAAGATCCTTAATCACACCTACAAAATCTCTTTTGCATATAAGGTAACATTCATGAGTTCCAGGGGTTAGGATGTGGACACCTTTGGGGGGGCCGTGATTCAGTCAACCACACCTATCTATTGAATCAACTTGGTTAATCAAAGATCTCTCCTAAAAGCGAAAAAACATAGATTTCCACTTTTCTTATTTATAAGAGTTGGGACAGGAACTCTTTCTTAAATAAGAGCTTTGTTTGGTTGGTATGTTTTGAAGAACCTGTGTATATGTTTTCTCTCTTCTGATTACAAAATTAATAATTGCTGAATCTTAATGTTTTTGGGTACCTGTTCAACTGTGGACCTTGAATAAATGTGATGAAATCACCACTCTGAATATCGTTCATTTCCAAAAGGTGATGCTCCCTCACCTCCCCCAGCCCAGTTTGGCAGATAAGGCTCAACTCCAGATGAGGAGTGCCTGGGTTTGAAGGCCTGGAAGAAGGTCCCTGGGTGCTCAGCCATATATGCAGGTCTATACTCAGTTCTTCAGATGTAGGGTTCCCCCCTCCTCCATCCCCCTCACCCATGTGTCGTTCCACCAGAGGGCCTCAGTACAAAACACTGACCTGATGGGTTGCAATAAGCTAACCCATATAAGAAAATAATCTTTCTCCCCTCTTGTGCAGCCCTCACCCATGGAGCAGCTTGTAAGTTTCACCACGTTTTCTGGGTTTTCCCTGTACTTAACCCATGTGGGATTGGGGTGACTCCTACTTAGGTAATTTGGTTCTCTGGTTACCCCCAAGGAGACAGGGAGAGGGGGAGAAGCATCCATGCATATAGGTGGGGGGTCTTGACCTCACGAATTTCTCTGAAAAGCATTTTCCATCTATAGCAGATAAGGACTTGTAAAACCCATCCCATGATACCATTATCACTCCCAACAAAATTAACAATAACTCCCAAATACCATCCAATAGACAGTGTTGAAATTTCCCCCAGATGTTTCTAAAACAAAAATGCAATTTCTTACAGTTTTACTGAGATGTATTTCACATACCATAAAATTCATTTAAAGTGTACAGTTCAATAATTACAGCATATTCACCAAGTTGTGCAACCATCACTGCAATCTAATTTTAGAGCATTCTCAATAGCCTAAAAGAAAATCATTAGCAGTCACTCCCCATCCCTACACCTCCTTGACCTCTCTCCTTTTACTCAGCAGTGTCTTTTAAGCTCCATCCATGTTGTAGCATGTATCAGTACTTCATGTTTTTTATGACTGAACAATATTTCATGGTATGGATAGATCATGTTTTGTTTATCCATTCATCAGTTGATGGACATTTGGGTTGAGTCCACTTTTTGGCTATTACAAGTAATGCTGCTGCTACAAGCATTTGTGTACAAGCTTTTTGTGAACATATGTTTTCATTTTTCTTGGGTATATACCTAGGAGTAGAAGTTCTGGGTGGAATGTTGACTCTGTTTAGCCTTTTGAGGAACTGACAGACTATTTTCCACAGGTTCTGCTTCATTTTATATCCCATCAACAGGATGTGAGTGTTCTAATTTCTCTACATCCTTGTCAATACTTATTATCTGCCTTTTTGATCATAGCCATGCTAATGGATATGAAGTAGTGTCTCATTGTGGTTTTGATTTACATTTCCCTGATGACTAATGATGTGTTTGCTGGCCATTTGGGTATCTTTGGAGAAATGGATATTATTCCAAGCCTTTGCCTTTTAAATATTGGGTTGTCTTTTTATTGTTAAGTTGTAAGAGTCCTTTATATATTCTGGAGTCAAGTCTTCCTCAGATATATGACTTGCAAATATTTTCTCCCATTCTGCTATAATATATACCTTTCTGCACAATTGCAATATATCTCTTTAAAGCAGCTTTCACCTGCCAAAATGTAAACGTGACCAATACATTCACAATGTCTGAATAGCCAGTGAAACAGAAGTGTGAGGCAAACCTCTCCAAAAGTCATCTAGAAACTTGTCTGGGACCAGATAAGGGCAGAGCCAGCTAGAGGAACCGC